GGCACCCCACTCCCAATGGGATTTGCCACACTAATTCTGTGTTAACAAAACAAGGTACCCACTCCCAGCCACAGTTACAAAGAGTTAGAATTTACAACACTTATTTTGGGAGGACACAATTCAAGAGGATTTAAGGGGCAGGGACAGGCGGGGTGGGGGGGGGTTGGCTGGAGATGCCTTCAGAGATGAGGACTGTCAGATCAGCAGGATGTGGGGTGTCTGTGACACAGGGGCCTGGAAACCTCTTCCAGAGCCTCCAAAATATCATGGAGACCCCCTGCTGAGAGGAGGACCCTGGGTTGGCTCTTGCTTCAGAGAGGGGAGTCTCCCTGAGGCCAAGCTCGGAGGCACTGAGGGTAAGGCGAGGCCAGGCCCCTGGGCTTGGACGGCTGCTTTAATGTGTGCACCGTGGGAAGGGCTGGATAGGCCTGGGTGCAGACTGCGATGAGATAGTTTGGAGCAAAGAGCTCAGAATCTTGGGGAGCAAGTGTGGTCTGAAGCTTTCTACGACAATCAGCGGGGCTTTCTGAGAATTCCCGGAAGGACCAAGAAGGTGGTTTGGCAGCTTGATCACCGTGGGCCAGAGGCTCCAGGAGAGCAAAGGTGTGTGTTGAAGAGAAGGGGGGCACTGGGTAGATTCTAGGCAGATGGGAGGGAGGGAGAAAGGAGGGAGAGGGGAGGGAGAGAGCGAGAGGGAGGGAGGGAAAGAGAGGCGCCCACACCAGGTGGATCTGTTCCTCTCCAGGCTGACTGCCCACAGCAGGTCTGCTTGTATTCCTATGTCTTTGGGTTTGTGCCTCTGGGTCCAAGGGCTCTTTCTGAGATGGTTGTGTGCATTAGGGATCAATCTGACAGAAAAAGAAAGAACAAAACAAGGAGAAATCCCAGTGGCAGAACCCCTGCTATTGTCAGGAGCCCATCAGCATGTGGGGGTCAGCACGGGGGTAGGTGGTTTGAGCTCTGCACCCTGGTCCTGTCTCCAGACACTTGCTGGCGATGGGTTTCTGGGGTGACAGCTGCAATCACAGAGAACGGGTCCAACCTCCCCACTGGGCTGCCCCTGACTCTTCATCTTGTCTGTGGCTCCTCCCCTGCCCTGAACCAGGCTCCTGTGTCTGACCCCCACACTCCCTCTCCCCAGCCTCTCTGGCCTCCAAGGCACCTCCTCCCGATCTCCCTTCATTGCAGCTCCCTGGACCTCTTACATGGTGACAGTTTGTGTCTGAGGAAGCATGTGCTCCTTGCTCCTCCAGAGCAGCCAGGAATGGTCCGGGGGATGGAGCGGAAGTACCAGTGAACTCCCGGGAACTCTCCTCAATGGGCAGGCAGTGCTGTCCTCTCCTTTCTGACACTTGGAATGCAGACTCAAAGACTGGAACACAGGTCACCATCTGTGACCTGAGACAGGCCCTGGGGTTTCCAGCTGCCACACCAGCCCGGACAAGGAGAAACTCGGGTGACAAGCTTGGTTGCCTGGGTTTCTGGGCTACATGCAGCAGTCTGTCCCCACCCTAACTAGGACTCAGGACAGCACCACGGCAGCACAAGGGTGAGTCACCCTGGGGCCCCTGGAGGAAGTAGGCCGGTGACAAGCACTTCAGAGCCACCGAGCCACCACGTGTGATGCATCTCAGAAGCCCCACTCCTCCCCAGCACCTCCTCCCTCTGGAGGTCTCTGCCCCCACTGCCCTGCTTCTACCCCCACTCGAGCTTCAGCCAGGAGTGAGCAGTCAGAGGAATTTCCAGAGAAGTCTGGGGATACTCATTCTAAAATTGTCATCTCCGCCAGCAGGTCCAGCAGCCTGTCATCAGACCTGACAAAGCAGGGCCCTCACATGGATGGGCTGGGCAGCAAGCCGAGAGGATGACGTGCCATGATCGACGCAAGGGTACAGACCACACATCATCCCACAGGGACTTGACATCTGTTCTTGATAAGAGTTCTGAAAAAGGTAGGTGTAGATGGCCCTTCGTACAGTCCAATGTTCGCCAGATGGACCCTCCTTCGTACACTCAAACATTCGCCAGACTCAACTGTGAAGGAATATCAGGCTAACACTATGAAGAACGGGGGTTCCCGACACTGATTGTACTCACACGGAACCTGTACATAGACCAGGAGGCTATCGTTCGAACAGAACAAGGGGATACTACACGGTGTAAAATCAGGAAGGGTGTGCATCAGGGATGTATCCTTTCACTATACTTATTCAATCTGTATGCTGAGAAAATGGACGATATGAAGATTGAAGGAAGAACAATTAACCACCTATGATGTGCAGATGACACAGCCTTGCTTGCTGAAAGCAAAGAGGACTTGAAGCACTAACTGATGAAGATCAAAGACTACAGCCTTCAGTGTGGATTATGCCTCAATATAAAGAAAAGAAATATCCTCACAACTGGACCAATAGGCAACATCATGATAAATGGAGAAAAGATTGAGGTTGTCAGGGATTTCTTTTCTTTTCTTTTTTAATTGTGATTTGGGTGAAAATTTACAGAGCAAATTCACTTTCCATACAGCAATTCACATACACTTTGTCTCATGACTTTGACCACAATTTACCACAATGCAACAGCTCCCCTCCCACTCCCTCCTGATAGTTACCTCTTCCCTATGTCCATACCTTCACAGCTGTCTCCCTGTGCATAAACAGCCCCTCTTTCTCCCAGGATTGTTCTCTCCAAGGAGTGTATCTACCTCAGGTAAATGTTCAACTCATATGCCTGTCTTTTGTTTGGCTGGAAGCCACAGGTGTGGGTTCAATTCCAGACCTGAAGGGCAGCTAGGGGCCATAGTCTCAGTGGTTCCACCAGGCTCTATTGGACCAGCAAACCTGGTCCCCACCTTTTTTTTTTTTTCTCCAAATGATTTTGAGTTTTGTTTCATGTTGTTCTCCCTCTCTATTCAGGATCTCCTATGTAGACCCCTTTTCAAATGTTTGACAGTGGTAGCTGGGCACCATCTAGTCCTTCTGGTCTCATAGTCATATTAGGGATTTCATTTTAGTTGGGTCCACAATTAACACCCATGGAAGCAGCCGTCAAGAAATCGCATGTCATATCACACTGGGCAAATCTGCTGCAAAAGACCTCTTAAAGTGTTAAAAAGTAGACACATTGATTTGAAGATTAAGATGCCCCTGACATAAACAATCATATTTCCTATCACCTCATATGAATGTGAAAGCCAGACAATCAATAAGGAAGACTTCAGAACAATTGATGTCTGTGAATTATGGTGTTGGTGAAGCATACCATGGACTGCCAGAAGAATGAGCAAATCTGTCTTGGAGAAAATACCAGCCTTTATCTCTAATATTTTGAATGTATTATCAGGAGGGACGAGTCCCTAGGACCTCATTCTTGGTAAAGTGAAGGTCAGTGAAAAAGAGGAAGCCCTGCAACGAGATGGATTGACACAGTGGCTGCAATGATGGGTTCAAACCCAGCAAGGATTGTGAGGCCGGCATGGGACCTGGCAAGGCTGGCACGGGACCCAGCAGTGCTACCCTCTGTTGTGCATAGGGTCGCTATGACTCAGACCTGACTTGATGGCACCTGATAGCAACAACCACACGGGCATTTCTGTGAAAGTAGGAACAACAACAAACAACAAACAAACTCACTGCCATCAAGTCAGTCCAACTCATAGTGACCTCTCCTTGGGTTTCTGAGGCAGTGTCTCTACGGAAGTAGATTGTCCAACCTTCCTTCCAAGGAGTGGGTGGTGCGTTTGAACTGCCAGCCTTCTGATTAGTGGTCAAGTGCCTTAGGCACTACACCACCATGCTCTCAAAACACCAGCCACCCTCACTGGATGGAAGAAAGTGGGGAGGAGGAAGCCACCTTGTCATTGCTTGAGGTCATTGCCTGGGACCATTACCTGGGACCATTGCCTGAGCCCACTGCCCGAGGCCACTGCCTGAGGATGGCATGATTGCACCCCTAGGGTACTGAAGCCACTCAAGGGAAGAACCTGCCATAAACGATACAATCAACCACATGTAGAGCCCACACACCAGCCCACGCCAACACACAACCAGCTGTAGGCCCAGACACAGAAGCCAGTGGCCGTCTTCTGAAGGGTGGGATCCCCCCGACCGCCTGGTGGCCCGGTAGCTGAGCGAGCCAGCCTGCCTGGAAAACACGTACCCTCAGGAAAGAAGTCCAGGACACCTGGCCCCAGGGAAGCCTGTCCCTGGTACTGTCCTGCCTAGAGCCCTCAGCACCGCCAGCCCCACTCCTCTCAGCATGAGTTTCTACTGGCCTAGGTTCAGTGGGCAGGGGCCGTGACGCTCTGGGCGGATGGCCATTTCTGTGCCTGGGCCATCTCGGGGTGCCTGGGTGTCTTTCTCTGTGTTGTCTGCTGGTGAGAAGCGCAGAAGCTCCTGGAGGCACACAGTTCCCCGGGGGTGATTTGCTCCCCAGATCAGTGCACAGCCCGTTGCTGTGACAGATTCTCTGAGGAGGCCAGCACACAGTCCCAGGGCCACGGAACCCAGCCAAGATGGCCAGGAACTGGATGGCCCCGCGGAGGCCTGGGGCCCTGCAGTTTTTTGGGGGGTGCACCTGGAGCTGCCCTGGCTGTGCCAGTGTCCTGGGGATATAAGGGGCCTGGCCACCAGTTCTGGGGTCTAGCACAGACTGTGGGGCAGCTGAGGGCAAAGAGGAAGGAGAGGGGGGCCAGTGAGGCTGTCAGAGGGCCTAAACAGGGCTCAGAGGCCAGGCCCAGAGGAAGGCCACCTTGCGTCCCACGAATGGCCAGAACACTGAGAGCTGCCAGGAGGACAGACAGCAGGAGGTCAGGCCTCCGTTGTGCTCCTCCTCCCTTGGATGGGTCAGCCGTGAGCCCAGCTGATTCCGATGGGCCCACAAGCCCAGCCCTCAGTGGTGGGACTGAGGGGCTCCTCACCTCCCACCTGGCTCAGCTGCCAACAGCCCAGCTCACGCCTGACTGCTCTCATCATGGCAGGGGACCCATTTTCCTTTCCCAGGGCCCCATTGAAGAGCCCAAGGTGAGGGCTTCCATTGACCTCACGCAGTTTGCCACTGCCGGACACCTCAACAACAGCCAGAGGGTGAGGAGGAAAGAGTTCCCTGCCCTGGACGCCCCCCAGCAGCCAGGGCTCTGAGGAGGCTGCCACACACATGGCCCCTGCAAGCCACCAGTGCAGGCCCCACAGGAGAGGGCTGGGCTGTCCCCTGGGTCTGGCTGCCTGCTGGGCCACCCAGAGAGCCCGGGCTCCATCTCTGACCCTCAATTTGGGGGTGCACAAAGGGCATGAGGGCAGCATAGGCTTCCAGCATCCTCTACCTTCACTGTGAGGAGAAGATCATGGTCCCCATGAACTGCCCAAGGCTGGTTCCTGTGAGTGGAGGTCACACATGCCACCATGTCCTGTGCTGACCCCAGCCATCTCTCCCTCAGCCTCTCCACTTCTCTGTTGGGCTCAGTGTTTCATCGCAATGACCACACAGAACCCAGAGACAATGCTCACGATTTTGGGGTTTATTAGGGAAGTAACAGGACACAATTCAGGATCGGAAACAACTCAGGATACAGTTCTTCAACCAGGACAGCGTCTCTCTGCTCTGGCCATGTGGCAAAGCTCTTTTAGCTTTTCGATGCCCAGGGGCATCTCCCTCCGCCAGCATGTCTCCTGCCTGAAGGCCCTCAGCTTCCTTGCCCCCTTGGGCTGGGAAGCCCTCCACTTGGTCTCATTCTGGTCTCTCAGTTCTGCCCCCTCTGCTGTCGTGTCTCTCTGCCATCTCTTTGCCGTCTCAGCAGACTGTTACTGCTCTCTTTCTCCTGGGTCGAGGTGGTCCTGTCTCTCTCTCTCTCTTCCTGGGTTGAGGTGGTCCCCTCCCTCTCTCCTGGATCGAAGTGGTCCAGCAGAGGGATTCAGGTCCCAGGATGCACTCCACTCCTGGCTCTTATTTCTTGATGGCAGTGAGATCCCCTTTTCCGCCACTGGGATGGCTCATTTGAAGACTAGAAGGATGGCAAAAGTGACCAGTCCCCACATGAGGGTGCCATACATCTTATTTGCATGGTTCTACCCCCGCAAGAGTGCCTTGTATCTTATTTACATTATTAACAAGCTGTCCAACCCCTGTGGCAGACCACAGCACCTCACATATGCATAGTCCCATGGTGGGGGTCACAAAGACCACAGGCCAGAAAAGGTGCAGTAAGCAATTGACTGCACTGCAGGAGGGCAGATGGGTCTCCTGGGAGGTGGCCCAGGGGGACTCCCTTGGGGATCAAAGCCCCTGGGGCAGGTGCTTGTGGACAGTTGAGGTGCCTGTGGACAGCTGAGGTGAGCCCCTGACCCACGGGCTCCTCCCTGCCCTCAGCACCCAGCTTTGTGGATACTTACAACCAGAAGCCCTTTGAAATGGCTGATGGGCGGAGCCAAGAGGGAGTGGCAGCAAGCCCACCACATGTCTGAGGGTACAGCAGGAGGAAACTCCTTTCACCACGTGCGCCACCCCTGGCACGGACCTGGCACCGTGTCGTGGGAATCACAGCCCCCGGCCCTTCCTCCCACACGTGCCCCCACGGGCCGGGAGTCTGCGTGGGGACTGGCACCCTGTGCCTCACTCCAGAGCCAGAGGCAGTCCTTTGTCACAGAGCTGATCCCCACCCGGTGGCCCTGGGTGTCGGGGTGGAACTCTGCTCGGTGAGGCTCTCCGGGGCTGAGCTGTCTGATGTAGGTCACCACAGTCTTTCGTCTGAGCTGTTCCAGGTGGACTTGACCCTCCGCCTTCCAGCTACCCTTCGAGCTCACTCACTGTTCCCACGGCCCGGGGACTCCTGCCTGATGGAGGGCAGGGTGAAGTGAGGGCCAGGTTTGTGGGAGGCAAGCCCTTTCCTATATTTGGATCCAAGGGTTTGCAGCCTGGCGCATGGAGAAGAAGACGAGTCCTGAGCCCTCGGGCAGGTGAGGGGAGCTGTACCCCAGAGCGCTGCCCACTCCCTTTAGCAAGGACCCTTCCCTCAGGGGCTGCTGGGGACTCGTGGAAGGAAAGGGGGTCTGGAGCCAGAGCAAAGGACGGCAGGGCTGGTCCCAGGGTGAAGCAGCGCTGGAGGGTCCGGGTGCCGTGGCCAGGCCTGTCCCACATGTGTCCCTGGGGACAAGGTCTCTGTGTGGGAGCTGGGGCTGCAGCAGGAACCCCTCTCCAAGTGTCTTTTGAATCTGTCTGGGGAGGGCACAGCCCAACTCACTTCGAGCTGGTGGGGAAGCCGACCTAGAGCAGGTTGGGGTGTGGTCAGCTCAGAGGGAAGTGTGTCTGGGGCACTTCCTGGGCCCCACCCCCAGGAAGGTGATGAGGCCAGTGGAATGACACCTCGGGGTTTGCCAGTCTCTCTCTGCGGTTGGGGCCTTCGCTTCCTGAAACCCTTGCTGGGTGCAGAGAGAGAGCAGTGTGCTGCCGCCGGGCAGAAGGAGCCCAGGCCTGGCCCCAGAACAGGTGGGTGCCTTGAAGCCACCGAGGTTGGCTGGCCTGATCATGGGGGGGGGGCACAGTCAGGGGCTCCTACCCGAGAGTCCCTCGGAGAGAGCCCAGGGGCATGGACCCAGCGGTGTGGTTTCGGGGAGGGAAAGAACAACAGCCATCGGACCCTGTGCCTGAGGCTTCTTCCTGTGCAAGTCCCTCCCCCCGGTGGCCGTCGGGGGGGGGGGCGGGAGGCCAGTGTTACCCTGGGCACTCTCCTGGCCAGCCTTAGCGGCACTGGGGGAGCTGGGCCATGGTGGATTCTGGGGCGTAGGGTGGGGGGCACATGGGGACATGAGGAAGGGCAGGCTGGCCAGCAGGGCCGGCTGGGTCAGGAAGCACGGTCCTAGGGCAGCACAAGGCAGAGATTCTGTAGACTGCTGGCTATGGAGCCCCCGGGGTGAGTGACTGCCGGGTACGGATCCCGGGGACCTTCCGTGTCTCTCTGCCCAGCACGGAGGGAGACCTCTCTGTGGGAAAGTGCAGCCTGCCCAGTAATCGAAGGAATGCAAATGAGGACCCGAATAGACGTTGAAAACTCTCCACGGGGCCAACCCAGCAGGTGCCTTCAGAAATTCTCCCTGACATTGAGAGGGTGTGATAAACAGAGCCCCCGGCTCCCTACTCCGGTGGGCATGTGGGTAATAGCGTTCTTGAGCAAGAGGCATTCCTGCCGGTGGAACCAACAAGCGTGCGATCCATGCCCACGGCTGCCACGCGGCCACAGCCGGGCTCTGGGCAGAACAGTGAGAGAGTGCCCTGCCGGGAGGACCAGAAACACCAGGTGCAACGGACAGGGAAGTGCTCCTCCAAACACCAGCGAGAGAGAAATACAGCACGCGGGGGGCCGCCATCAGTCTGCGCTCTGTGCTCTGGCGCAAGCTGGAACGGGGCCGGGAGGAAACGCTGGAGCCACCCGTTCTGTCCAGTTGGCCCAGCCCACGGTGACCCCACGCGTATCACTGTAACACTGGGCTCTGCAGGGTCTTCGAAGGTCAAGTTTTCAGAAGCCACTCGCCAGGCCCTTCCTCCACAGAGCTCTGCGTGTTCTCGAACTGCCCACCTGGAGGGTTATAGTTGAAGACAAATGGCTCGTGGCCCCTGGAACCCTTGAAAATGCTGACATATGTGTTTCCAAAGACCGGAAGGACGCACAGCCGCTTGGAAAGTGGGTCACTGTCGTACCATGACCTCTGTCAACGTGAGCCGCTTTCATCATCTGCAAAAGAGGTTGACTTTGTTCATATTAGATGGAAGTGACTGACAGGTGACTGTGGCCTGTGACATTAAACTGAAGTATATGGACAGGGGAGCTGTGGCTGTGTGTGACATTAGACTGAAGTGTATTGATGGGGCTGTGGCTGTGTGACAATAGACTGAAGTGATTCACAGGGGGCTATGGCCATGTGTGACATTAGACTGAAGTGTATTGACAGGAGGCTGGGCTGTGTGCTGAAGGTGGGAAATGATGAAGCAGGGGCATGGAGGGTACGGAGGAGAGGCTGGGCTGGCGAGCTGTCTGTGGACCAGTGTGGATGGATGGGCAGCGTTGGGAGGGCTAGGCAGGAGATCAGAGGCTCTGTGGCCTTTGGAGTCATGACCAGGGCCAACAGGGTAGTGTAACTGGAACCTGCGGTCGTCAGGCTGACCCCTGCCTGCCTGCCCCAGGGCCTTGTGGCTCAGGCTGTCTGAGGATACTCACCTTGACATCAGAGCTTCTTCGGCTGCAGGGGAGGGGACAATGACTACAAGGGCAGCAGCATCCACAGGCCCAGGGCTGCCCAGTGGGTGTCCCTTACCCAGTCTTGGGGACTAAGGACACTGAGGGTGAGTTAGGGCCAGTCTCCTAGCCTGCTGGGCAGCCCGACCCTCCTCTGTGTGGACCTGAAGGCAGTGACAAAGGATGGCCTGGTCCTCAGGACCAGAAGGGAGGCCCACCCCTTGAACAACATGTGACGAGTCGCTCCTGCTGGTTCCCTGACCTGACTGCAGACCCCACTGCAGGGCAGGAGAGGACCACCAGTGTCCCTGTTCCCACCCACAGGAGACTGTATCTGGAGGTGGATGGCCCCTCACCCAGCTCTTGGAGCTGCCAGGCGTGGGACGCTGAAAGGGGACAGTGTACTGTCCCTCAGTGGGCGGGACACTGTGCTCACCACCCCCACTCCACACACAGGCAGCCCCTCCAGGAGCCGTCCTGCCCACATCCTGGCCCCTGAGGTCTGGGTCCTCCAGAGGCCTGGGCCCAGATGAAGCAGAGAGAGGGGAAGAGGAAGGTGGGGGCGGGCTTTGGAGCAGGGTGATGGTGGGGGCATTGGAGGCTAGATGGGGGCCCCAGGGTGTGGCTGCAGCGAGCACAGGGCCGGGGAATGACAGGGCTGGAACGTCTGAGGGTGGCCATCAGCGTGAGGAGGATCTGACAGCCAGCCCCTTCCTGCCTAGCTCCCTCCCAGGTGGTTCGGGTCTGGGCGCCCCAGAGACCTGGACACCAGCTGTGTTGGACAGTGGCCTTCTCCCACCGTCTGGGACTTTCTGAATGCACTCCAAGGGCCCAGCACTCCTGCTAGGGCCACTTCCTCTGGCTTTTGCAGAAGTGGTTGCAGACAGGGTGGGGCACTGGGTGGTGGGACAGTGAGGGCCCTCCCCCTCAGCTCCTACATCTGGGAGACTCCCACGAGCCCGACTAAGTCCCCGCTAACCCGCAGGCAGCTGTGAGGTCCCCACGTGTACCTTCAGGGCCACGTGCCTGTTCCCAGCTCCTGCAGGAGAAAGAAGGTGGGCTGGCAGGCCGGTGCTCAGCAGCGGGCCGGCAGTGGGGCAAGAGTGGGCTGGGATGCCCTCACCCAGGGCTGCTCCCTCCTGAGCTACTGGGCCTCCACATCTGGGGGAACCCAGAGGCCTCCACCCTGAAGCATCAGACGGAGGCGGTGCCTCGCAGGCCAGTTGGAGTGGCGTGGAAGTGGCCATGGGCCCCGGGGCAGAGTCTACAGAGGTCCACACAGACCCCAGCAGTAGGTCAGCTGTCACCGCCATGCACCTGGACTCCCGGCCACAGGGTCTTCAACTGCTAACGTTTCGGAAGTTGGTCACCAGGCCTGGCGTCAGGGCCCGCACCTCTGGGTAGACTCAAACCTCTGATCTTCCAGTCAGCTCGCTTACTGCTTCACCACCTTGGACTCCCTGCTCAGAACGAAGGGTCATAAAGACCTTGAGTGCTGGCCTGTGACCCAGGCACACATCCCACCACCAGTCTGGCAGAGGCCCCGGGTCCCCTCTGTGCACTCCCGCCCCGCCAGCCCATCAGAGACACCCATCTCCAACGGTGACATCACCAGACAGCCATCCTCTCTCTCTGGCCTCCACGGCTCCCCATCTCATGGCTTTCAGCCATGTCAGACCAGGAAGCAATGTGAGCACAGGCTTCCTTGTGCTTACTTATATGCCTGGGGGAACAGTTTCATCTGGTTTTTCTTTATGTAGCAAAACCCACGTGCAACTTCCCTACGGGTTCCTAAGTGAGCACAAGACAGCTTGCGGACTGGGCCCCACCCCTGGTTTTCAGGGTATTGTGTAAGAACCCCTCCTCGGCTAATGAACTTCCTGTCATTTCAAGTAACCAGACTGCTTCCCGTGAGTTCCAGACACACATTTGAAGAAAAGAAACCCTGGTGCTGATTGCTGGGAGCACTCAGCGGGAAGGCCGGCTCTGCTGGGCGTGGGTGGGACTCTAGGCTCAGGGCAGCCATCCCAGAAGGCCCCAGTGAGGGTTTCAGTCTGTCCCAGCGTGGCACTGGGCATGCGTGGGGGTCAGCAGGGGTTGGAGTAGGCGCCCTCTGCCAGCTCGAGCCATGGAGCCAGCACCTGACTCCCTCAAGGTCCCAGGACAGAGAAGTGGCTCAGTTTGGACCCGTAGCACCTCAGGGCTTTGCCAGAGCCATCCTCATGTCTGAGGGAGGGTTTAGAACCCTCCCCCAGACCCTCTGATTGACTGGGACTGAGCCTGTGCCAGGGACATCACTGGCCCTGAAGGGTCAGGGAAGGAGATCCTTGATAGAGAGGGAGAACAATGTGGAACAAAACTCAAAATCATTTGGAGAAAAAAAAAAGGGGGGGGGGACCAGGTTTGCTGGTCTGATAGAGCCTGGTGGAACCATTGAGACTATGGCCCCTAGCTGCCCTTCAGGTCTGGAATTGAACACACACCTGTGGTTTTCAGCCAAACAAAATACAGGCATATGAGTTAAACATTTACCTCAAGTAGATATGCTCCTTGGAGAGAACAATCATGGGAGAAAGAAGGGGTGCTTATGCACAGGGAGACAGCTCAGGGGGCAGGAGTGCATGAAGGGATAGACACTGGGAAGAGGTAACTATGGGGAGGAGGTGGGAGGGGAGCTGTTGCATTGTGGTAAACTGTGCTCAATGACATGAGACAAAGCATATGTGAACTGCTGTATGGAAAGTGAATTTGCTCTGTAAATCTTCACCCAAATCACAAAAAAAAAAAAAAGGATCAGGGAAAGGATGGCCCTCCTATGCCACGCCTCAGGCCTGCCCACACGAGTCGTGGGCACTCAGTGCCCTGGGGACACTACTCTCACGTCCTTGCCGGACGCACATGCTGGGGCCCGGCTAACCAGCACGCTGTGTCAACGCGCTGTATCAAGGGTGATGATTCCCTTGGAGAAATTCCTTGAAGGGGTTCTGCAGGGTCAGGAGCTCAGCACGTCAGATTTTTGGAAGCATGTTTCACGACCACGCTCCCAAGTTTGCCCCAGTTCCTAATCTTGTCACCGGAGTGAAAGCGTATGCCTTTCCTCATTTGCACCAAAGCTGTACTTCTGCTGACCTCATCATGAAACACAAAGTCGACCGCAAGTTCGATTTGCGTTTCTTTTACATAAGTGGGGTTCAGCATTTTGGGGGCTACTTTTATTTCTTCTGTGAATTTCCCACTCACGGCCTTTGACCATTCTTCTATTAAGTTGTCTTGTGTCAGTGCTCTTTGTATTTGACAGAGCTGTCATTGTATCCCACAGCACTAACGCAAGTCTTGGTGCTTAATTCATGCCCAATACCCATTCGTCGAGTGAAGTAATTTGTGTTTAATCTGGTTTTCCCAAAAGCAATGCCAGCTTCCTTTCTTTTCCAGATCATTTGAACTCTGGGAGTAACTATCTACTCAGGATAGACAAGACACACGCAGTGGCCTGGAGCCCTTACTCCTGAGCCACCCCAAAGTGGACCCCACAAATATGCCAGGTGAGTGACCCTGAGGAATTAAGAGTCATTCCTACAACACACCCTGTCTTGGGATGGGGATAATTACTTCAGACGCGAACACGTGAAAATGAAAACTGCTGGGACAGTCCATCTGGACGCTGCCCCATCGGGAAGCTGGAGCATGCCCGCCTCTAACTGTTAACTCATAACCTCCTGGCCTCGGAAACGTTAACTCATAACCTCCTAGCCTCGGAAGCATTAGAGCCACTAGAGAAACCCAGGAAAGGGAGTGAGGACACAGGGGTGGTCTCAGTGTCCATTGGGACTCATCTGCCCCCATTTCTGTGAGAGTCCCAGAGCTGAACCTCAGAGCCTCCATGGAGCCCTGCTGGTACGGAGGAGTGGGTCTGCTTCAGGGGCGGGTGGCCGTGAGGAGCTGGCCCCCCCAGCCTCCCTCTCCAGGCCTTTGCTGCTGCCGGTTGGCCCCTCTCCTCCTCCCACGGACTCTGCCCACCCCCATGGCTCTTTCCTGGTGATCAGGGTCCATTGTGTGTGCCCACCTATGGGGAGCTCACCTGGGCACCCAGGGTGCGGGCCATCAGAAGGTAAAGACCTGTTCAGTGGGTGCATTGGCTGGCTGCAGGTGCCACACTCCAGTGACCACACAGCGCAGGCTGGAGAGCTGGGGCCACAGGGTGACCAGGAAGCAGGAGGTGGCCAGAGCGCTGGGGGACCTTGCACACAGCCACACAACCCCCAGGTGTGTAACCTGAGTGCCATCCCAGGACAGGGCCCATGTGGTAGCCTAGGGAGTGTGGCAGGCTCTGTGAGGAACCCACGCAAACACAGGCTGCTCACAGCCTCCGACGTGCTCCCTATGGCCCAGGTGCTCACACACAGAACTGAGGGTGGTCTGGGGCCTCCATCCTGCTGCCCATAAGTGGGGTGTCAGAAAGGTGCCTGAAGGACCCAGGACTTCCCACAAAGAACGCAGCAGCTCTCTCTTGGGCTGTGCAGCTAAACCCCAACCGAGTTTAACGCGGGTGTTTGCAACAAGAGCCCTGGGAGGCAGCACATGCTGTCCACGGGGGCCCTGAACAGCCAGCCACAGGCACTCAAGGTGATGTCAGCATCTGGGACGTGCTGAACCTTACCTGCCAGCTGGACACTGAGTGGATGTCAAGGAGGAAGGAGACAGGGGAGCTCCAGAGAGAGGCTGAGGGACAGGAGCTGGCCGTGGGCAATGCCTGCAGTCAGGAGACTGGACATACCTCCAAGGCACGCCCGGGCACCGGCCCTAATCTGAGGAGCAGACTATCTACAAGTGAAAGTTGTGTTCCCCATGCCTGGGCTCCCACTTTTCACAGGCAAGAGGAGCCCCTGGGCTCAGGGGTAACGCCACTTCCTGTGTCCTCCCTGAGTCTGTGGCCGGAGGTGCCTGTGACAAGCACGTGTGCGATTAGTGCTGTCCCCTTTCATGTCAAGTGGTGAAGCCTGCGTTGCTGCGGCCCTGTGGCTGGAGAAGCCACCATAAAGCACCGTGTAATCACAGCCTCCTGCTGACCTGACAGGGAGCTGGAATCAGAGAGAATGCTCACACAGGAGTGCGGCCAACAGCGTTGTGCTGGTTCCCTAGTGCCACTCTGACAAGAATATACCACAAATGGGATGGCCTTAACAAACACGAGTTTATTCTCCTACAGTTCGGGGAGGCTAGAAGTCCAAGTTCAAAGTGCCAGGCTCTAGGGGTTAGGTGAAAACCCCTCAACCCTGGGATCCATCTCTACCTCCTGCTCCCAGCCCACTGGAGCTAGAGGCATTTCTTCACTCAGACAGCTGCTGACTGCTGAGGCTGACAAACCCAAGGTTGACAAGTAAAAAGTCACAGTCCCAATGTTATGAAACCACATGGCAGGTCATTTAACCCAGTCCATTGAAAGTCCCAAGGTCAGCAGAGCATGGCAGACCGCTGAACAACAACACGGCTACATGCAGGGTCCAAGCGTGCCGTAAGCTGGAGACTGTTCCCCAAGGCTTCTGCTTATATACTAAAAGCACACCACATCCCTAAGGCAGCTACGCAGCTGCTCCCAATAGATTCCACCATAGAGTTGATTATCAGTCTCATAATGGGGAAAACTTCAACACCTCAACGCCAAAAAGACAAACAATCCAACTTAAAAACGGGCAAGGGACATGAACAGACACTTCACTGAAGACGATATGCTGGTGGCCAACAAACACATGAGGAATTGCTCGCGATCTTTAGTCATTAGAGAGATGCAGATTAAAACAAAGATGAGATATCATCTCATCCCAGAAATAATAGCCAAGTGCAACAGGACAGAAAAAAACAAATGCTGACGCTGCAGAGAGACTGGAACCCTCATTCACTGCTGGTGGGACTGTAACATGGTACAACCACTGTGGAAAATGGTATGGTGTTTCCTTAAAAAACTGAAAATAGAAATATCATTTGAATCAGCAATTCCATTATGAGGAATATATCCTAAGAGGTGAGAGACAGGACACGAACAGACATATGCACACCA